GCCAAACTCTCAGTAGCATATTAAATTGTAAAGGAAACGTGACTTGCAACGTAACGTTCAGAAGATATGTCCAAAGGCGGTCTGGGGGAAAACCACGCAAACACCAGGAACGGTAACAGTCAAATGGTCAGTCGAAAACGCCTGTGTCAAAAAGGACAGCGAGTAAAGATCCAAACCTGGTATGGTGTGTGCGGAGCTCAGTACTTCAGCTTACTTTATCTTTGAAGTATACGTAACGCCTGTGTGCGATAGACGAAGAGGTGGTGGATTTAGAGGTGAGCTGTTTCAGGGTGAAAAGGGTCCGGTTCAAACCTATAAATGCTCTATAAGCCCTGCGTCGCCTGCTGTTTAGACAAATGTCTATTTCGCGGGTCTCGATGCGCTGATATTAGGAATGGTGGTCATTTCGTCTCTAGTTAGAAGGTTTCAGGCTAGGGAGTCAAAGTAAGGGAAAAACGGAAAGACCCAAACATAAAGCCTCCCCTATTATCCCATGTTATCAAACTCAGAGATAATACGTTACACAGTATGTTTACCCTACTTGTTTGCTTGGACTATGGTAGGCTGACCGAAGATTGTTTATCTGCTCCAGAAGCCTGCACACCGTACCTGTCTGCTTCGTAGCAGCGAGCTTCACGAAGCCATAAAAGAAACATCATAACCTACGCCAACCTAATGGGACCATCTTTCCATTGATATGATCTAAAATATTTACATCATAACGTATTGGTGCACCGGCACTCACCGATCGGTTACGGGACCCCTCGCCTGTTTTGCCTTGGAGCTCGCGCTCGAGCCTTGCAACCAGCGGCACAGCGGCTAATAGTATAGGCAGATGAAAATGAGCGATATTGGCACGGGAAACTGGAATGGCAACTTCCGTATTATTAGCCGTTATTAGTCAGGCATACGCAACCTTAAGTGTTTTTCCACCCGAGGTTCGAACCCGCGGCCTACTGATAAGAAGTCCACAGCTCTAGTAACCGAGCCACGGGTCCGTGGTCTTGCCGGATGAGATCGATTTAATGGTCAGAGCCTCGGAAGGTGCACCATTGGGATTGGGTGTGACTGGCTCATGACAACTAATACGTCACGAATAGTAATTTCACTCGCCCTGATCTTTGTCGGTGATGTTCTCCTGTCCATAATGACGTACTTTTATAGGAATAATGTTTAATTACTTAATGGTTTAGCGACTAGTAGGAAAGAAAGTTTAGGGCACCGCATGTAGATATTGGATTACATTACGGGGAGAAGATTCGCTGGAACCCTTCTCACGAGTATTAGGAACAGCATTCAGTAATGACGTGTGAATAGGGTAAAGGGGTGTCAAGATCACCGGATACAATGTCGGGATTTACCAGCATCGAAAATAAATGAGGAATAACAAATTATTTAAGTTGTCAACGTTAGCGCGTTCGATATTTGCAGGCGATGAAAGCACGCGTAGTCAAAGGCCGGCAAGCTGGCAGACTAAAATGCCTCGGGATTATGTCGCATGATAA